TTACATAAAGTCTCATGTTATAAGGTCATATTCATATAAAAAATACCTAATGAAGTTGAGTTTTTTATGATAAAGATGATTTTTTTAGCGTGTGACTTGTTAATTTCTGATAACCTAAAGTATCAACCATTTCTAGAAATCCTGGATTTAGAATTTAAAACTTACACGAGCACTATGCCTTTGACACTTCTGAAGAAGTTCTCTGTCATCTTCCACTGAGCTGTTTTCTCATGAGGACTTAGTGGCACTTCCCTTGTGATTCCCTTTACTTGTGCATTGTTTTACCTAGAAATATAAATCAATCTCTAATACTTAAAAAATGAAATATGCTGGTTATCATGGCAGCATAGACAAGATCCTTCTGATTTATGGTCTGACACTAGTAGAACTTAGAGCAACAGTGGCAAAGACAAACTTGATACTGAAAATGGGAAAAATCGGTAGAATGTCATGAAGATTTTGTCTCAGTGAGGGACTGCATATAGTGAAATTTCTCCTGGATTCAGCCTATCAAATACACTTCAACATTTAGCAGACTTTGTATAGTTGAAGCAAATGAGCTGTCATGCACTAACAAATGGCCTTCTGAGGAGGTGTCAGATCCCCAAAACTCTAGGCAGTATCAGTCAGAAAGCCTGAAGGAACCAGGCCTTAGAAAAGGCCACCAGAGTTTGAATGACCCTGCCAGAGTCATTTAATCACTCAGAGTCAATAGAGGAATTAAGGGATAGAGGAAGTAAGCAATGAGTCTGTAATTAGGTAATCTGTAGATCACTTGGAGCTCTTGGGAAGAATATTTTTCTTGAACCAGAGAGTATGCTCAGCCGAGCTTAGAGGTCATATTCTATGGGGAGAGGCCTTCATATTACACACACACACACACACACACACACACACACACTCTTTAATCTAAAAGAGGGTGATATTTGGTCACTCCTGGACTTTAAATTCAAATACACAAAATCTGTTTTGTTCAGATGAATTTTGCCAATTATATACATTCAGTTTACATTCAGAAAGAAAGAAAAGTACTTAAACAGTAGGCCAGGAGTTGGGACCATGGTGGTTTAGGTTCCTTATAAACCACAGACACATCATGATCAAATAATTCTGAAATACATCATGCATAGAATTTTGTGCAACTGAAGAAAAAAAAAATGACTGCTGAATTAACAGTTATACAATATGTGGCCTCAGGAGTTGAAGATGCTATTTAATTGCCTTTTCAGACAGTTATTCACCCCTCCCTTTCTTTCAGCCCTTGATACTCCCTGGGAGTTGGATGTGAACATTTTGAGAAGTTCATTAACTTCCTTACACAAGAGGAGTGCTCTATATTAAATTAGAGCCAACGTTAGTGCAGCAGCCGTATGTGTAGCCTTTCCTACCCAGATATATTTCCCTCACAGGCCTTTTGATTCGTAGAAACATTCTATCACAAGGCTTTGTCTTAAATAAAATATGAAGTCCAGGAAGAATAGAAAGATACCTTATGGTCATTTATACCTTAGGACGAACCTAATTTTATCAGATCCTTTGAGTATGGGTTGTTTGCATCAGGCATGTAGGTTGGACTTCTGAGTATGGGAGAGAGGCATCAGAGTGCCCCTGGAAGGGGAGAAAAGGCTTTGAAGACATGCATCTCCTTTTCTATATTTTTGCCTTCACCTGGCCTTTACTTGCAGAAACAAGGCCTCAAAACAGTTTTGAACATCCATTTGGATTCTTAGGCCACCACAAAGGCCAGCCAAAGTAGTTAGGATTGGTTTGGCCTTGCATAACAGAGACACTCAAAATAATGGCATAAACAAACGAGAAGAAAGAGAAATTAGGAAACCAATTATTTACAATTGCATCAAAAGTAATAAACCTAGGAATAAATCTAACCAAGGAAGTGAAAGACCTTTACCCTGAAAACTACAAGACACTCTTGAGAGAAATTAAAGAAGACACCAATAAATGAAAATACATCCCATGCTCATGGGTAGAAAGAATTAATTTTGTCAAAATGGCCATCCTGCCTAAAGCAATCTACAGATTCAATGCAATCCCTATCAAAATACCAATAGCATTCTTCAACAAACTGGGACAGAAAGTTCTAAAATTCATATGGAACCACAAGAGACCCCAAATAGCCAGAACAATCCTTAGAAGAAAGAATAAAGCTGGGGGGATTACGCTCTCCAACTTCAAGCTCCTACTACAAAGCCATAGTAATCAAGACAATTTGGTACTGGCACAAGAACAGACCCATAGATCAATGGAAAAGAATAGAGAGTCCAGATATAAACCCAAGCATATGTGGCCAATTAATATACAATAAAGAAGCCCTGGATATACAATGGGGAAATGACAGCCTATTCAACAACTGGTGTTGGCAAAACTGGACAGCTACATGTAAGAGAATGAAACTGGATTACTATCTAACTCCATATTCAAAAGAAAACTTGAAATGGATCAAAGACCTGAATGTAAGTCATGAAACCATAAAAGTCTTAGAAGAAAACATAGGCAAAACTCTCTTGAATATAAATGAGCAACTTTTTCATGAACATATTTCCTCAGGCAAGGGAAACAAAAATGAACATATGGGACTATATCAAACTAAAAACCTTCTGTACAGCAAAGGATACCATCAGTAGAACAAAAAAGGCATCATCCTACGGTGTGGGAGAATTTATTCGCAAATGACATATCCAATTAGGTATTAACATCCAAAATATATACAGAGCTCACATGCCTCAACACCCAAAAAGCAAATAACCCAATTAAAAAATGGGCAGAGGATATGAGCAGACACTTCTCCAAAGAAGAAATTCAGGTGACCAAGAGGCATATGAAAAGTTGCTCCACATTGCTAATCATCAGAGAAATGCAAATTAATACTACCATGAGATATCACCTCACACCAGTTAGGATGGCAAGATTCAAAAGACAAGCAGCAGCAAATTCTGGTGAGGATGCGGAAAAAGGGGAACCCTCCTGCACTGTTGGTAGGAATGTAAATTAGTTAAACCATTGTGGAAAGCAATATGGAGGTTCCTCAAAAACTAAAAATAGAGGTACCATTTAATCCAGGAATTCCACTCCTAAGAATTTGCCCAAAAGAAACAGGGTCACAGATTCAAAAAGATATATGCACCCCTATGTTTATCGCAGCACTATTTACAATAGCCAAGACATGGAAGCAGCCTAAGTTTCTATCAGTAGAGGAATGGATAGAGAAGAGGTGTTACATATACCAATGGAACATTATTCAGCCATGAGAAGAAAACAGATCCTACTATTTGCAACAATGTGGATGGAACTAGAGGGCATTATGCACAGTGAAATAAGACAAGTACCAAATGATTTCTCTCCTCTGTGGAGTATAACAACAAAGCAAAACCTGAAGGAACAAAACAGCAGCAGACTCACTGAACCCAAGAAGGGACTAGCAGTTACTAAAGGGAAAGAGGGTGGGAAGGGAGGGATAAGGGGATTAAGAGGTATTGTGATTATCACACATAATACAGGAGGGGCACGGATGAGGCTGTATAGCATGGAGAAGACAAGTAGTGACTCTATAGCATCTTACTATGCTGATGGACAGT